TGCTGTTCAACGTGCACTGACGCGTCGATTTTGTGGGTGTTGTCGCTGTCTCTAGGCTCCTGTGATGCCGCAGTTAAGGTCAGGGAAAGTGGTAACTGCTAGCGAGGTGAAGTCGGCTGATGGAATAGTCTCCAGCTCAAGCTGTCTGGGTGCAGGGGTAGGATGTGAGCCAGGGAAAAAGCTGACAGTGAAGCAGAGTCCTCGCCCGGCACCAAAGAGAAAACCTAAGCAGCCCTTACCTTCCTGTCTGCAGCCTGCCATGCTTTCCAGCGTTTCCTGTGAGCATTTTGCTTCTCTTGTGGCCATGCAGAAGGATCAAGGTAAGACACTCCCAGGTAAAAAAAACAAGGGGATACAGCGGAGGGGTACTGACAGAAGCAACAAAGTTGTAGGTCTGCCCATTTCAGACACTGCTGGATGTGAAGATTGGCAGGCAGCAACCACTGCTGCAGCAACATGCTGGGAAGAGATTGAGAGGAATTTTTTAGGAAGAGGAAAGGCTTTTCTTGAAGGAGAAAGCATTTCATTAGCACAAGGAAGAGGAGACCAGATACCCTTTTGGAGGGTGGAGGGATGAAGCAGCATTGGCAGCAAGAGGCCCTGAGTAAGATTCCCCTCCTTAAGAGCAACCAGCTCATTTATGCATAGAAGGTCAGGCACAAGCAGGAAAGGAGGCAGTAGTTTCAGCAAAGACAAAGATAATCAGTTTTTCATTAATCTGTGTATTATTTAATTATTTTTTAGCATGTGTCATGTTGTCTTGTTTTAATGCTTGCCTTTATAGGGTACTGGGGATTGTTTTCAGAACTTTTTGCTTTTTACTTTCTCTTCTCTGCAAAATCCTAAAAGATGTAAGAAACAAAGATTACATTTTGGTGCTTTAAGATAGCATATCAAACTGGAACAATTATGAAAGAGGATTTTTAGAGGTCTCCTTTTTTTCACAACAGTTGCCTAAAAAACATACTTTCTACTCTCAAGAGTGCGTGTATTCAAATGACAAAAATTTGCTTTAGGTTATTATTGATAAATATTTAATCTAGAAACCATATTCTGATAAACTGATATATTAAAATTGTATCTTAATTTCTAAAGTAAGCTCTAAAAAAGCCAATAGTTTCCTAGTATGTTCTTAAGTCTATTCACCAAATCAATTTTCAGAGGTACAGTTTTTTACATTATCTATATTTGCTTTTAAATAAAAAGTAGTACTTCAAAAAAATGCAACTTCAGCAGTTTTCCTGGATCTTCTTCAATAGTTGAATGAATTTGTTTGGAATGTATATTTGGAATAATTTTAACAATTATTAATAACAGTTGATAATTGATTGTTAATAATTTCTATAGCTAATTATTAATTAATTAATGAATGATTAATGACTGACCCAACTGTACAAACAAAATATTTTAATGCTGTGTGCAAACAGCATCTGCATTTTCTTGCCATACTTGCTCTAATTTGGTTTCCACTTATGTTTAAATACACAACTTCCAATGTCATTATGATACCTTTAAGGTTCTTTTCATCCTCACGTTTGTTTCTGAAAACAAAACATAATTTGTTACTCTAAGTCTGCTAGTAATTTTTAAAGTAATTTTTTACAAAAAATGTTTTAGCTTTATATAGTGTCATGTTCTTTAGTAGCCTTGCATGGTTTTTGTTCTTTTTAAAAAATATTGCAGTAGGGTAGTCTTCCCCTAGTGTACTCTTCAGTGACACTGGTTTTTTTTTTAATCAGCAAAGGAAAAATGGAAAGCAGTTGAGCAAGACTCTAACACACAGGCTGTGAAGAAGCTTAAGACAAATCAAAACAGAGCAGAAGTTTCCAAGGAAAAGGAACCTCACTACTCTAAATCTCCAACAGCTGCTACTTTAGATGGGACTCAAACTAACAGCTCTCTGTGCCATCCTGTCACAAACAATTCTGGTGCACAGTATAAAACAAGGAAACCCAGAATTGATCAAATCAAATGTTTGCAAAGTTTTAGTGTTACTACAGCTGAAAAAGTGAGAAAGGCATCTGCAAAATGTGATGCTGAACATCACAGAAATGCCCTAAACCATTGTAAGGAGTTGCGCTGTGCAAGAGAAGAGGATCCATTTGTGAGATTAGAGGCCTGTAGTTACATCAATACATTTGTAAAGTCTGCAGCTAGTGGAATTAACAGCAGCTATAAATTAAGTAGATTCTTCCATGTAGCCCAGGATAAAAGCAAGCATGTTTTTCTTGATGGTGCTGTAGATCAGAGTGGTGTGAACTGCAGCACTAGTAGAACACATGATGAGAAGTCACTCATGGAAGGTGGATTATTGTCCAGTAAAGAAAAAACTCAAAACAGCGGAGGGTGTTCTCCATATTGTCAGGGTGAAAACACTAGGTGTTTTAAGGGAAAAAAGAGGAATATTGGCAGAAAGCGTAGAAAAATGATGAAAATCACTGAGAAATCAGGAGTGCAGAACATTTTCACAGACAAGGCTAGTGAACGCAGTGAGTGTGAGTTACAGACAGAAGCAGCGGTTGCCATGCCAAGCTCCTTTGCAGTTGTAGGATTAAATAATAAACAAATTAATTTGTCAGTTGAATGTGTTCATACATCAGATCCTCATATAGAAAAAGATACTCATGAAGCACAGAAGATACCTGTCAGCACAAAGAACAGTGCCAAATTACCTGCATTTGAAGATCACTTTAAGACATCTGAGCTCTCTGCAATAGCAAAGGGAGACAATTTGAACAGTGTGGCACATCATTCTTCTGCCTCAGGTAGCCTGAGAGTGCTAGCTCAGGTCCATGATGTTTCTTACTGTCACAGAAGCACAACAGATAAAAAATTGAACAAAGCAAATAAATTGCAGCAGTCTACCTGTCAAAGAACAGTACCTATGACTGGTAAAAATATTTGGCCTTTTGGATCTTGTGCCAGGACTTCTGAATGGGTTCATAAAAATCATGGATCTGTTGCAGGAGGAAAAAGTCTTGTAAGGGCTTCCTTGGAGGAATCCTCTGATATAAGCAGTGTTAAAGCTGTAAAAAGCAGTGCTCTGACTAGGAATTTGAGATGCCTGGATTTGCATACATCATTAGCAAAAAATAGCAAAGAATCTACGCATAAAATAGTAGATCCAAATACTGAATGTCTGACTTCACTTGAAACACCAGAATGCTCTTCTACAGACAGTTATGAGGCTTTGAGGATGAACAGTGAAAATAAGGAATCACCAGTTAGTACGGATGGAAGTGCAATGGCTTTTGACTATGATGATGTGCAACAAGTTAAAGCAATCTTGAATTTTACAACAAAACAACAAAAGAAAAACAAGGGAGCTGTGAGAAAAAGAAACCTGACTGTGACAGTCCAGAATGGTACATCTGCAGGTAACAAAAGAAGAATAAGCTTCAGCCATAAAGCAGCAGTAGCAAACCAGACATCTCCTGATATAAAGCTAATCAACGTATTAAACACTGGAAGCTTGACAAAGTTCAAAATTCCTTTATGTAGAAACAAATCTGAATCTGGGAAACCGGAATCTGTCTGTTCATTTGAAAGAAAAAGCTGTAGTCCACTAGAGCTTCTGGACAGTAGTAGTGTTTCATTAAGGCAGAAAACAGACAAAGAGACTTTTTTGGTAAGTGCCACGCAGCAGCCTCTTCCTGTTGTAAGTGATGCTATGTCCACAGCTTCCATGAAGAAAAAAGCAGATGAGATCAACAGTAAGGATGTTCACCATGGTGGCTCTGAAAACCTTTCAGATGAAAGCTCTGTGCTTCCTGAACATTTTCCTTTATATCCACATCCTTTTCTTGACAGGCAGCCGGAGTCATTTGTGCCTGATTTCCATGGTACCGAATGCATAGGAGAGTGCAGTTTGCCTGATCGTTCTTGGAATGCAGTTGACCACCCTGTTGCATTAGAGATAAATGATGATAGCAAGTCCAGAGGGAATCTGTTCCAATGCAAAAGTCAAAATTTTCCAGACACTCTTGCAGCTTATGAAGAAGATGTTCTTGTTATTGATGTAATTCAGGATGACCCTGATCTTTTTGGAACCAATAATGAAAAGGAGCTTGCACTTGCAGACTCTGAAAATTGTCCTGTGAAGGCATCCTATACTAGCATCTGCATTAAAGATGAAAAGCAGGATCTTGAGCCTGAGTGTCCTGTTACCTCACAAAGTAGAGATTCAGTAGATGATAATTTTAGGTATGCATATAATTTGTTTTATTACAGTAATCCTAAATACTTTTTTCTCATATCAGTGTAATTTGGTTGTAGTGGCCAGACTTCCTTACAGAATTCCATTAATTTCTCAGTTGATTTTAAGTCTCAAAATTTGATTGAGGTATGACAGTATTCTGAATGAAAAAAAAATGCTTTGTTCTTCATTAGAACTAGAATAGACTCTGAATTGAAGGAAAACATAGTCCTAAGGAATCACTTCAGACCCAGTGAAGTGAATTATGAAAGTGTGAACAAAGCTGATTTAAACATTATTAAAAAGCAGATAGTCTTAATGATGTGAAATTTTTAAATACCTGACTGTTTGAGATAGCAGATAGCCCTTTGAGGGTAGCTTTTTACTTGTGAAGTGGTATCATACTTGAAAATATTTTTTACTTTCTAGGTCTAGTTTGTTCTTTTCCTGGATCTGCATGAGTGAATGGTTGTTTCTGCAGTAGTATTCCACTCTGCCATTCTCCTTCCCTGCCTTTCTCCTACCCCCAGACATATGCATAGTTATCAGATCTGTAATTTGGCTAACATGTTATAGATGTTTATGGCCCTGCATCTTCATTCAGCAGGTTTCCAGTGTAAATCATTGGGCAATAATGTTTTTCTGGATTTTGAGATGGTAATAAAAGCCAATGAAGGGGGAAGAGAAATTTAGAGTAGAAGCAAACTTCTAGAAGAGGAAGTGGTCTTCTAGAAGGGATAGACAAACTTGTCAACTGCCTAGTCTGTTTTCTCTCCAGGGTGTGATACTTGTGTTTGATAAATGAGTTTTAAGATTAAATTTTTCATCTTATGAAGAAAAACATAAAGCTTAGGTAGGAATGAAATAAGATTTTCTTCTGAAGATTAGGGGGTTTTATTGGGAGGGGTGTTTTAATTTTGTTCCTCTGCTCTTTCTGAATGGCTTTGTGTTATCCTCATTTTAAATAATGTTTAATGATTTAATGTTTTAGTTATTTTCAGTGTTGCACCATCTTAAAACTATATTCTTTTGGGGTTTTTTCTACTCTTTGCTCTCCTTATCTTTTCATTAAATACATGTGCAAAGAGGAAACCAATCTTTTTTGAGGTGCTGAACAGTTTTTTAGTCATGAGAATATAAAACTTTCAGATGCTAATAGAATAAAATTTCTTCCATTTTATTGGAGCTTGTAAGTACTTGGTAGGGAAGACAGATATTCCCTTGATTAGTAATGACACTGAGTTAGAGTAACATCACAACCATTCATTAGATAGATGACAACTGAACTTAATTGAAGCCACATTTCAAGTTTTTTCCTGGTATCTGCTGAATTTGTTTGCCATCAGCCATGGAAAATGAAAAAGCATGGTTGTTACTTCTTTGAATTTCCCCTTAATGTGCTAATGTATCAGGCAAAACTGTTTTTGCTTTCTGCCTTCCCTAATTTGATGCAAAGATCAGTAGATGATGACTAATAATAGTTGGTAACAGTCAGGAACATATTAATGAACTGAATATGAGAATATTAAAGTAAGTCAATAGACCTTACTAGAGTTTTTTCAGGTATCAACTCTAGATTAGGAGGCGATCTGCTAGAGAGCAGCTCTGTGGAGAGGGACCTTGGAGTCCTTCCTGGTGGACAAGTTGTCCATGGACAGCAGTGTGCCCTTGTGGCCAGGAAGGCAAATGGTCTTCTGGGGTGCATTAAGAAAAGTGTGTCCAGCAGAACAAGGGAGGTCCTCCTCCCCCTCTGCTCTGCCCTGGTGAGACCTCACCTGGAGTATTGTGTCCAGTTCTGGGCTCCCCATTTCAAGAGGGACAGAGATCTGCTCGAGAGAGTCCAGCAAAGGGCTACGAGGATGACTGGGGGACTGGAACGCCTGCCGTGGGAGGAGAGGCTGAGAGACCTGGGGCTGTTTAGTCTGGAGAAGAGAAGACTTAAGGGGTAACTAATTAATGTGTATAAATATATGCGGGCTGGGTGTCAAGAAGAAAGGGGCAACCTGTTTTCACTTATGCCCTGTGACAGGACATGGGGCAATGGTCACAAGCTGGAACACAAGAAGTTCCACCTCAACACAAGGAAGAACTTCTTTACTGTAAGGGTTCCAGAGCACTGGAACAGGCTCCCCAGGGAGGTTGTGGAGTCTCCTACCTTGAAGACTTTTAAGACCCGTCTGGATGCGTTCCTGTGTTAACCTGCCTCAGACTAGATGGTCCTGCTCCGGCAGGGGGGGTGGACCCAGCGATCTCAAGAGGTCCCTTCCAACCCCCTGTGATTCTGTGGTTCTGTGATATCACCAGATAATACCAGATAATGGCCAGTTAATACTGTTGGGTTTTATTTTATTAGTATTTACCAAGTAAAAGTGGGACTTCAACTTCAGCCAACTGAAAAAGTGGTTTAGGCTGGTAGAGTTCCAATTACATCTTACTACCTGTTTTAAAATAGAATACTGTTTCTGTTCATGTCCTTTTTTTCCTTTAGAGATACTCTATAGCATTGTCTGTATTTTCTTTTTTGGCTTCTTATTTTATGCATACTCAGTTTTGCTTCACTGCTATATCAGTTTGTCATGCCTCTTCAACCTGTCCACCTATAACAGTGACTCAGAGCTGTGCTTTTGTAGACCATCTCTAACTTGTATAAACATTAGTTTATATGCTTTTTTTTTTAACATTTTGTTAATGTTAGCCTTTACACATTAGATGAATGTAATCTAGGTGATTTTAAGTAGAAGGGCAAGGCAAGCACTTAATAGCTGCATCTGGTGGTTCTTACTGAATGTTTTTAGCTGTGTCAGTACAGAGCTTTTGTTATGATTTCCCTTCAGGTTAATAAGAACAGGCGTATTATGGAATATGGATCTTTGCTAAAACTGTTTTAGTACATGTATACATGGGGATGGATTTCAATGTATTCTTGTGCATAGATGTTTTATTTTGGCATTGGTACAGAGCAGTAAGAAGTATGTTTCTGCTAGCAGCAAGCTATTCTGAAAGTATAGCTGGGTTGTTAAAAAGCTTTTATAATGTGCTGAGGGTTACTTAGGAGTTTAATAGCATTCAAATTGTAATTGTAAAGGAAACAATTGCTGCCTTAGTTTGTAGTGTTTTTCCAACTGCACAAGCCTGAGATCTAGCAGCTTGTCAAAACGACAGTTGCTGTAATGAAGTAATACTTTATATTAAACTTTCCTTGTGAAACCAAAGTGCTGAAACTGTGTGAAGGACATACCAAGCTGACTCTGTAACTGGTATGTTCAGTGGAACTATTAGCACAGGTCCATTTTGTTTGAGCCTTGAATTTAAACACCAAGATGTGTTTAGTTAACGACACTTTTCATCTTTGACTGTTTGTGACTTTAAAAGCTGGAGGGGTATTTTTAGTTAGGAAAATTTAAGAATAATGTCTTTTGGCTTTCGAATTTCAGGTAATGAGAGCATGTGTCCTTCAAAAGCAGAACACACTGGTCACAAGAGTGACCGATTTCCAAATTTCAAATAAGGCTTGTTTCTTTTTTTTTTTTTCATTTAGGAAACCAACAAAACACCCCACAGCCAAAAGGGCACCTAGCATTGCTCCACATCTCTGACTTCAGGTTTCCTAAGTACTGTATTTGTGCTTATGCATGTGCCCAGAAATGATACTTCTGAAGAAGCAGGTTTAAGCAGGACAAGCAGGTCCTGTCTCTTAATCCAGGAAAAATCAGAGAAAATTCTGTGTGTACGTCCTGAATGATTTGACTCAGTTAGCATGCTCTGCCCTTTAGGTTAAGAAGAACTGTTGTTCCTCTAGTGGTTGCATTTTTAGAAGAGAAGAGTGAGTGCTGGTCACTTCCAGGCATTAGTTGCCAGTCATCAGGATAGGATTCTGGACTTGCAGCCTGAATGGGGCAGTGAAACTCGTTTTTCATGTATACTTCAGTTTCCCATTTTGTATTGCCTACTCCGAAGTGACACCCAACAGTGGAGATTTTTGAATCAATCTTCTGAGGTGTTTCCTTCCTCTCGTGGGCAACCTAGACACTTAAGTCTAAGTGGCATCCAGTATGTTCTTTTATGCCAACAGAACTAGTAGGTTCAGTGGATAAGTTTGAAAGCACATCAGTAGCCATTCGTACTCTTAGGAGAATTCTGCATTTTACTGCTTTCCTTTTTGAATAAAAAGCCTAAACTCAAATCTGTTTTTCACATGCAAAATAGCATATTGAACAGTAGTTTGTGTAACTTGTGCTGTAAGGAGAGATTTGTTCAAGCTTAACAGCAGTATGCAAGAGCACCCCACATTCTGACATGGTCTAGTCTGTCCCCATTTCTACATCTGTGAAATGTGTTGACCACTTCTGGTTCTGTCAGTGCTCCCAGATTTGTCAGACTGGTGAGCAAATGCCAAGTACTGTACTGAATTTATAAAGTGCTTCTGTAACTATTTCAGACTACATAATTAGCAGAATCTGGTGAAGTTTTGGAAGTGGCTTTTGACCTGAACGTGAAGATTTCAGTCTCTTCATGCTGTTAAATGTTTTTGGGTTTAAGCAATGTTTATGAAGATGACAGCTTCCTGGAACTGTCTACACTGCAATTTTACAAAAAAAAAGAAAGTAAACTGTTGTGTGCAAAATCACTCAAACTTTGTGTTTCATGTAAAATGTGAGGGAGAAAGGACATAAGCCTAGAGAGAGCCTGCTTCTAATAAAAATCCCTCTCGCCTCTGCAAACTCGCTGTAGCTTATTAAACTCTACTTCTGAATATATCTTGTGTATATACATAGATATCTGTGCCTGGATGTTGGTATAGTTCCAAGTTACACATACTGGGGAACTTTCTCGTTTCCACGAGGTCGTTGCAGATTTTCATTGCCCCGTTTTACCAGGCACCGTGCTGTTACTGTACTGGGTGTCGTTCACCGGCTGTGAGCTTCCAAACGCTGATGATTACGGTGTTCTGTATATTCTACATAAAACATTTTAATATGCTTTTTTACCTTCTGAGCTTTTCTAAGGGGAAATCCTTTCTTTTTTCCAACTTATCTTTAAAATAGATGAAGGAAGTATCCTCTTATGAATAAATGTTTTTATTACTCTGAGATTCATTGTTATGCAAATTGAATAGAAAACTATTCTAAGTCACATGTTGTCGAAACTGATAAATTGACTGATGAGCCTAGTATTTTCAAAATTTCCTATGAAGATTTCCCTTCTCAGTATTTTAGACAAAGGGGAATTGAGATAATGAGCTTTGACTGACAAACTTTGGGATTTCAAATGTTTTGGTTTTCCTTAACATGTTTAGCTGTATATCTGTAGGGACAGACATAAGAAATCCAAAAGAGAGGGTTAAGAACAGTCTTAGAACAGTGTGTTGTTTGTAAGGATCTTGTTCATAGCTAAAAGTATTACTCAGGACTTTAATGTTATATAACTGGTTAGATAAAGTCTGCTTTTTTTCAAGATGGAAATATTAAATTCTCTTTTTCTTCAAAACAGGCACACTACCATACAAGAACCTGGAATGTCAAACAATACTGAAAATTCCTGTGATTGGTTGCTAAAAGGTAAGAGCCTTTGGAGATTTTAGAATGCATTATCAAGGGAGGAAAGCAACCACAAAGATGTTCAGTGGCAAAACTCAGGCTTTCTTCTTTCCACATAAAATGAGAACTTGTCAGTTAGAACGGTGATTTGTTCCCTAATGAATATAAAATGGTTGCCTTTTGAAATCATACAAACCTGAGCCTTTCAGGGAACATCTGCTTCTTTGTAGTATTTGTCTCTTGGTAGTACTGGGGGTATTTCTAGGTTTTGGCTGTGAGTTTTTTTGACATATCTCTGATACTTCAGGTAAGGAGTTCTGTTACTTGATGAGATGATTGTAAGACACTGAGTACTGTGATTCTGCTTTGGAGTCTCAACTCATGATCTAACTTGGTTGTTCTCTTGTGTTCATCAGGAGACAGAATTTTATAATAGCTTTTTTTCCAGTTTGTACTCTCGTTTTGTTGCAGATGCTATGCCTGTTCCTCTGAAATGGTTTTTGGTTTTGGTTTTGGTTTTTTTTAAGGAGTTTTTTTTTTTAAGAGAAGGATACTTCTGACTTAATTTTTTTCTTCTTATTTTAAGCAGAGCAGTCCCAACTCGGCAGCATCTGAATATTATTTATTTTGTTTTCTACAGCTTGCATACAGACCTACTGTATGTCTGATATGGAAATTTACTTCTTTTAGTTTGGAGGAACAGGATTTTGACTTTGACGAGAACCTCGTTACTGACACACTGGAGAATGCACAGAGTGCTGAGACTTGTTTTGAAGGTTCTCAGTGTTTCCCTTTCTGGTGTCAGTTTGTCAGCTTGCTGTTAATCTGGCACTCTGCCATCATGTATTGATTTTGCTGCTGGCTTGAAAAGCTGCTGGTTTTTTTGTATGTGTTATGTTCATGTAGAAAGAGTGAGTGTTTTGGACAGATGTGGTCTCCTGGAGCAAAAGAAGTGAAGAGTGACTACTTGGGGGACAGAAAGTTTCAGACTTGAGTGATCAGAAGGCAAAACGAAAGGTAGTGAGAGTTTAAGAGCTCAAACATCAATAAACAGACACGAGTTCCCCGAGGAGGAGGAGTAGGGAGGAAGTACACAGTTAGGTCTCTGGTGGTGTAAGGAGCCATAGGGGCCTGTGCCATGGCAGTTTTCTTAGACTGTTTGTTGGTTTACTTCATGTTCTAATGAAGTTTGAGGCAAAAAGTCTTTGGGTCTTTTTGTGGTGCTTAAAATACAGAAAAAGGTTTAAGTAGGTCCTTCTTTCCAGATCCAAGAGACTCCAGATCACATCACACTCCTAGATTAGTATGCATGTGGTAAGTTAGGTTTGATGTATGGCTTTTTTAAAAAGATGTGTACACAACAAAAGAAAGGTGCCTGGGTTTGGTAATTACTGACTATATATGTGTTTATTTAGAAATACGTATTGTTGCTTTGGAGTCTTGTGTTATGTAGTGAGGTCATGGCTGCTTGTCTCAGTGGCTTCATAGTCTTTAAGAAGGGCAACAAATACAGTGTAGGTATTATGGATGACATCAATCCTTGTCATCTTTCAAGTGGAAATCTTGTGTACGTTGCCTGGAAGCAGATGTGTCTTGTACTGATGATCATACAGAGACCAGTGACTATAAGATAAAAGCATTTCCAATAGTAATCTGATTCTTTCTTCCCTTGTCTGGACAACACAGTGCATTTGAAACTCATTCATCTGATGCGATGAAATAGCAAACTTCTTTTCTGTGCAGACCTCTCCTATTGTACATAAACTGGTCCAGAAAGCTGCAGTCAGGTGTTCTGCTCATTTCCTGTGGCACGTGCAAAAGGTGCTGAAATTTCCTGACACTGAATTCTCATTGAGTTTACTGTATTGCAGGAATTTGGAGTTTCTTGGAGCTGTATATATTTAGGTCAGGGTTGCACTGTGTCATTACAATTTACTTATCCCCTTCTCCAACAAAGGCTAAGTCTTTATTTGCTTAGCAAATTACCATGCATCTATTTGGCTGTGTTTTAATAGCAAAGCCTAACTGAATTTACTCCTAAAATATTGAATTCAATATTGTATAAATAAACTTGTTGTACTCTTCTACAGGGACTATTACAGACCATACTGCTTGGATGGAATCTTCATTGAGATTCAGTTTAATATTTATTTTAAATTGTTCATGCTTTAAAGGTGATCTTACATTTAAATTTCACATTTAGGAAGTCCTAGGAGTTCCTAAATGCCATTAATATTGAGGCTTTACAATATTTAGGAAATAAAAGCTTTGTTGTCTTGTAGCATGGGAGACAATATAATGTGTTTATACATTTTCAGCTAAAGTTGTTAAACCCCACAACTCCCCCAGAGCAAGCAGTCCTTTGAGAGTTGTTACTGGTGACTTTATTGAAGATGAGCAACTGAGAGAGCTAGATGACCTTTTAAAGAGTTTTGACGTGGATGAAAAGGTAATAAGAAATCATGATGCTTGTCACTAAATGGTTTAAGAAATTATAATTATCCATGTGGTTGGATAATTTTAATTACTAATGCTATTTTATCAACAATTTTCTACTTCCTGTAGTAAAGAGAATGTTAGCATTTCATACATTACCGTGCTGTTGACAGTGTGTGTTTTGCTTGATAGAACTTTGTTTTTTACCTCATCAGTAATAATTGATCTTAAAATTTGAAATTAACCAAGACACTGTTATGTCAGTTGTTACAGTAATTCTGTGTTACCAGTTGTATGTAAATGGCTGTTCCAGTGAAAACCCAGAAGTATTACTGTGTATGTGTGACATTTTTATATAACTTACCTACTTTTAAATGTTGGTGTTCAATACTTCTCACCAGAAAGTCTGAGAAGGTTGGGGTGGTGTTGGGAAGCTGGGAAGTTGCACAGTCATCATGCATCAGAGGAGGATTGTTCTATGGCTTGTTACTTAGACAGAAGGACCACTGTATTAACATACTGACTTCCTGGTGTTGCAGTGGGCTTGTTAAGCTATTTTAATGCTCACTGAGCTTTCTGATCTTTCTACTCCCTCTGTCCTTCTTCCTCTAGATAATAAGTCACAGAATGGTAGGGGTTGGAAGGGACCTCTGAAAATCATACAGTCCAACCCCCCTAGATCACATTGCCTAGGAGTGTGTCCAGGCAGGTTGTGAAAGTGTCCAGAGAAGGAGACTCCACAGTCTCTCTGAGCAGCGTCTTCTGGTGCTCCATCACTCTCAGAGTAAAGAAGTTTCTCCTGATGTGGAGATGGTTCTTCCTGTGTTCTAGTTTGTGCCTGTTGCCCCTTATCTTGTCACTGGGCACCACTGAAAAGAGACTGCCCCATCCTCTCCACACCAACCCTACAGTCAGGACTGTATTGTCACACCTTCCAGTGATCACTAACAGTTCTAAGTGTGTGAAGTGTAACAGGCTTACTAGTGCTTTGCTGTATCTGAAAGTACATTTCCAATATCTTCACAGTTCACGTTTGCAGATGGAGTGCCTGATGTTAAAGAAGAAAAAAATGGTGAAGCTGAGAAAAGGTATATCGGCTGTGTCCTCCCTGTACCCTGTGACATTCCCCAGCTACTGTACAAATGAAATGTGGCGGTTTTACTGAAATACCTTCAGCATTTTAATTCCATTTTTCTATGTTATTGTGACTATGTGATGAAGAAGAGAAATAAATATGTGATATAATACAATTTCACTGTGCAAAGTACAAGACAAATACTTGACTATTCAGTCATAGCCTGACAGGACAGAAGGTAGATACTGTTCTTACTCAGCAAACTCCACTTCTGGTGATGCTGTTACTTTCTAAGAAAGAAGTTGATTGTAGAGCAATATAGTTTACTGTTCCTGGCAAAATTGTGTGTAGTTTCATCTCTGGATTAAAAAACAGAGCTGAGATGGTTACCTGCTAACCAGGTAAGCTGCTATGAAAATCGTGATGTGTCAGATCTGAAGCTGGCATCACAAGGAAGCATAAAAAAAATTGAGGTGGTGACTTGAAAATTCTGAGTAACTAGACCTGCAGATTTTTTTTCCTCTGGAGAGCAATCCATTACATTGACTAGATTAAAAATAAAGACTGATAATGAAGAATTTGGCTTTAATAGATTTCTTCTCTGCCATAGCATTTTTATTTCCAACTGTATTAAAAACAACCTGCAATTTGGGAAAGATTTGAATTATCCTAGCTATGAGAAGTATTAAGTGGCTAGAATGTGCCCCTCACAGGGGATAGTGAGTCTGTTTCTATCTATCTCCAAACAGCAAACGGGCTGAAATGTCTTTTGTACTGAAACTACATTCTTAACTGAAGAGAGGAGGGGAGTAAGATCTCCTGAAGTGGGATTTTTTTTTCTATGTCTTTATTTACAAGTAAGAAAAAGATTGCTGAGGATTTTGCTAGCAATATTTGTAAGTTATTTTTGAAAAATCATATTCTTGTAGTTTAATTATCTGGAATGTTCATATTTGTGAATAAAGGCAGAAGAGTGTATGATTGGAGTTCCCTTTGAAATCACCTAAGTCTTCCACTGTGTAGAGTCAGTTATTCAGAAGGAAAACAGTTGGCTCTTCAAATGTAATATCAAAAGCTTTATGGATTGCTTCTTTGGCAGATATTACACAACAGGCTACTGAAAAGTAGATGCTTCTCCAGAAGTGACAGAAATCATCTCAGTTTTCCTGTCAGCTTAGTGGAAAAAGAATAGAAGTGGCGCATGGGTGCCTTTTCTGCTTATTTATTGAATTTCATGTAGTTACACTTTAGGACAGAATAATCTCAGCTAAAATTATACTCAGATTGGACCAGGCAATGAGAGCAATGGAAGCAAAGTTGCTGGGACTGCTAGCTATTTAAATTTACAGCAAGTTTTTAAGTGTTGTGTAAATCGTTGAAGAAATTCTCATCTTTTAAACACTTAATCCCTCTTTTCAGGTGGTTAGTATATGGGAGAAGCACCTGTTTAATTTGGTTAAACAAAATCTGTGTTTTAATATCCAGCAGTGACTGTGGACGCAAAGATCTTGTGAACTGTGAGTTGCTATCAAGATTGCCATTGCATGCCCCCAAAGTAAATGAACTCAGTGAAGCTACAGGGATGAAACCCCAGACAAATGGTATCGTATGCTGTCTTCACGAGCCCTCCAAATTTATTTTTAAGTGTGTTTTGTTTACCTATAAAATCTTAAGGAATTTCTTCAATTCCTGAAGGCATTGGCTGGAATTTGTTTTAGTTTGCATACATAGAAGCAAAAATGCAAGCTCTCCTATGATGGGTTAGTTAGTGAGGTTTTTTGGGATTTTTTTTTGTAGCAGAGTCCTGTTTGGTTAGCATCAAATAGAATTGATTCTGTCTTTGTATTTGTGACTTTTAATGGTACAGCAGTGCCTCCTCCATTGTTAGTGTTTTGACACACTGTGTTTGAGCCATGCTTCAAAAGTAATTTGTTTTGCTTTATTTGTGGTCAGAGAACATGACTGCAGATTTTCTTGGTTGGTTGTTATCCATCAGCAAAACTTGGCTAGGGGATTTGCCCACCTTGCCAAAGATCAGAACTTTGTTGTTTATGCCAATTCAAACGTTTGTGAGGCGTTCCCTAGACTGGATCAAAGAAATAATCTAGATTTGATAAGCAGCCTTTCATTTTGACCAGGTGTTTTTCACATCTGGGACAGTTACCTATTAGTGTCCCTGCTGTCAGAGAAATCATAATGTAATGGAATTGTAGTCAAAATTTCCTTCACTTTTTCTCTCCATATAACAACTCTGACATTTATCATTATCTAAATGTACAGTTTTGTTTGGTGTGCAAGGCAGAGAAAAAAAGGAATTGATTATTTATGGATAGATACTGCATTCTGTTGCTTTGCAACAGCTGTTTTGGGACATAATTTTTTTAGAATTGTTGGTTAACATGGGTGTTTATAAACATGGATTTCCTGAATTGAAATCAGTGGCAGAGGGTCTTGATTAGTTTCAAATTATACTGCCAGTCTGAGCTTGTAGAATGATCTTATCATGACATGTAACAGTATTTTCAGGAAGTGTAAGAAACTTGGAGGCTAAAAAAGCAACTGTGGAATATGTCTCTAGACTAAACTAGTTGGAAATTGTTCATGTCTTTGGCCTTAGAAGTGTGTACACCTTCTGAAGAGTCCTTCTAAATCTTCCTTCTTAAAATCATTTGAAACAGTTGCCAAAACAAGAGTTTCTGTACTGGGAGAGGGCAAGACAGCCCTTTTTCCCTAGACCTGTGCAGGTAGTATTGTCTATTTCACTTCAGTGCTCCCCTACAAATTTGACACCGTCAGCATGGAGAGTACAAACTGCTGAAGGGACCTGATCAGAAGCTTTTTGCTGTAGGGATGGGAAGAAAAATTCTGAGCTCAAGTTCTCAGTGGCATTTTTCTGCGGGTAGCAGTTGACCATTTTCTCGGTCTTTTTCCTGTCACTAAATTTATCCAATCCTGAATTTACCAAATTGCCCACCATCACTGCACAAAATGATGCAGTCATGCCAGTATGTAACATTTAATTGTTAATTACTATGTTAATTATTCTGCGTTATTTCTCCACCCTGTCCTGTGCTGGTCCTGACTGTTCAGAGAGACATGCAGCTTAAGACACGTCCCTGGTGCAGATCTCTAGTCGAACATGTGCCATTCCTGGGTGCTCCTCAGTAACTGTAGTTTTTCAGCCAGGACTAAGCACCCTGCGGGTTGAATACCCAGTTCTTTCCAGCAGCCAGGTGGGAATGCTAGAAAGCAAGGCATTCAAAAGCTATAGTTTGTCTTCAGATATGGAGTTGAAAATTTCAACTTCTGTCTTCCATTAACATTATTCATTTTTCAGAGAAAGACATCTGTTATCAGTAATAATAAAAGTTTTTAAACTCAGTTTCATGGTTAAGAAAACAATAACTTATGTTGGGCTTAGGCTTGCTATTGCAGTGCTTAAAACAGAGTATGAAAGGTTTTATTTCAGTTCTGCAAAGTAGTTCAAATTTATGGCTAGTGATTTGGGAATGCAAAGATTACTGATAAGTGACTTTTTTTTTTTTTTGCTTTTGAATTTTAAACTTCTAGGTCCTTAAATTCCATTTCTTTTCTTACCTCTCTAAGTTAGATTAGAAACCTTGGATAAAGCAGTGAAGATCTCCATTTAAATGTGTTTACTTTTGAAAAGTTTCAGTTTTAGGGTAATTAAGAAAACTGTAACCTAATTAATCAGGTTTTCACTAGTCAGTGCTGTGATTTGAACTCATTGTAAAAGTAAAGGAAAATGAGATGAATGAGAGTGGTTTCAACATGATTCATTTTATTCCATGATTCATTTATTGTCGTCTGATTTTTAGATTACAGATTTCCAAGTGAAAGTCCTTTACTGCCATTGCAGCATTATGGAGATTTTGAGCCATGGAAGATGGAAAAAAATGTAGTTGTGAGTTGTTAAATCCTTAATGACTTCTGATCATTTGGCACTGATTTTCATAGAACGGTTTGGGTTGGAAGGGACCTTAAATATCATGTAGTTCCAACCGCACTGCGATGTGCAGGGACACTTCCCACTAGAGCAGGTTGCTCAAAGCCCCATTCAGTGTGGTCTTGAACACCTCCCAGGGATGGAACATCCACACCTTCCCTGGGCAACCTGTTCTACTGTCTCACCACCCTCATAGTGAATACCTGCTTCCTACTTTCTAATCTAAGTTTACCCTCTTCCACTTTGAACCCATTGCTTCTCATCCTGTAACTACAAGCCCTAGTAGAAAGTCTCTCCCCAGCTTTCTGGTAGGCCCCCTTCAGACACTGGAAGGCTGCAGTAAGGTTTCTCTGGAGCCTTCTCTTCTCCAGGCTGAACTCTCTCAGCCTGTCCTCATAGGAGAGGTGCCCCAGACCACTGATCATCTTTGTGGCCCTCCTCTGGACATGCTCCAACAGGTTCATGTCCTTCTTGTGTGGGGGCTCCAGAGCTGGACGCAGTACTCCAGGTGGGCTCTCACAAGAGTGGGGTGGAGTGGTAAAATCACCTCCCTCGACCTGCTGACCACATTTGTTTGGATGCAGACCAGGATCTGGTTGGCTTTCTGGGCTATGCTCGCATGTTGCCACTTCATACTGAGCTTTTCATGTATTGTGTTATGGATATTCAGACAATTGTCCATGTATCTTGCCAGAAATTATGAATCTATGTACATTTATATTTCTAATCCTCTGTAGATGTTATCACTGAGTAAATACAATTTCTGAGAACAAAATCAATGATGAGAGGACAGCTATTCACAGTGGAGCTTTGTTGATTTCTATTTCCAGGTTAAGCAAAATCAAATAATGCTTTTTGCTGTATTGTTTTTGTAGAACTGAAAAGTAGACAAAGTTTCACATGTTTAAGATAGACTGCGTTGTCTGTTAGGCTGGGCACTGAAAAAGGGTAAAGGAAATTGATGGCCCAGATTTCTCAGACTATTATCCAGAGCCGTGAAGGAGTTTGTCACCCTTCTTCCTCCTCTCTACTCATTGTCTCCTTTAGTAGTTCTTGCATTCTTTCTGCCTGTGATCCTCAAGGCAGGTTTTTGTTGTGTTAGACACTAACAAAAAAAGACAAGTGTTTGATCTTAGTCTGCTTTGAAATGGTGCAAATACAGTGTAGAGATGAGGATTGTTTCAAAGGTTTAATTGTAGATGACTTGTTTTGCTTCTGTTTTTAATTTGTGTGTATTTTGAAATTCTCAAAAAAAAAAAGCATTTTCTTTTCAAAAAATATTATCTGTCGGGTTTTTTTCTGCTTGTTTTATTTATTTTGTTTTAGGATTCTCATTCAGTCCAGCAGATACTTGAGATGATTGAATTACCCCGAAAATATTGCAGATTTTATTTCATGACTTTGCGTGGATGTGAAAGAGCAAAATGTTGGTTTTGGCACATTCCTGAGCAAGGGGATGAGAAGGTAAGGAGTTTACTGGAGAAAGGAACAGATTATAAGTATGAACTCTTTTTTAAATGCAAAAGGACATCCCCTTTTTTCATATATGTGTAGAAAGGGGGTAAATTTCAGCAACTGATGGATCAAAAAAAATGTTCAGAAATCCTCCCTCTCAAGGTCTTTTGAAGTTCTTTTTAAAAATAATTGTAGAATTTTGAACCAGTAGACTTCTCAAAAGAACAGACATCAGCAAAAGAGCAAGAGTTAGGCTGTACAAATATAGACTAGTAGAGTGGGGAGTTTCTGAAACATTTCTATTCCAGGCATCAGAGAACTGAGCAGACCCAGACTTTGTATGTATTCTTAAAGTCAAAAGCTAACAATGGTATATTACTTTCTGAAAGTTTTGAGCAAAAGGGGTATGTTTGTTTAAAAGATGCTGTAATCTCCTTAAACGGAGCAACAATCCTCATAATATTTGCAAGCAAAAATATTTTTCTAGTGAAGTAGATCTGTTTTTAAACCATTTAACAAAGAACTGCACAAGGCAAGCTAATTGTGCTGTTATGTAATAAGATTTTGGAATTGATTGGATGAAACAAAGGCTTAGGTGGTTCTGTAAGTGACTGGGGAGTGAACAGAAACATTAAAACAACTGAACAGAGACAGATACATAAACTCATCCTCATCAGGTCTTACAAGATTTTTCTGTCTACAGCCTTATTGGTATGAGTACTGTTTTATCATTGGTGTCAATAAGTAAGAAATTACAGATTCAAAATGTAAAAAATAACTTATAGTGAACCTATTGGACATAAACACTTAAAAAAAAGGTGACATCTAAAGGAGCTTATCCATCTCTGTGATATCTTAAATATACTGTATCAGAATTTTAAAAATAGATCAGTATAACTTGGTTTCATTTTTCTTAATGTTTTCTATTTTCTTTCTATGTCTCAAAAAAGAGCTAATGCCTTGTAACCCCTTTAAAAATTTGTAAGACAGCTTAAGAATACTAACATCATTTGAGAGTAATTTTGTACGGGACATTTTCCCTTTTCTTGAATTTTTAAATACCTTTGGCAGGCTGTAATGAATTATCATTAACTTTCAGCTAGTTTCTGTGAATTGTCACATTTTGTAGTGCTTCGTTGTATACAGATACATTAAATAATTAAATTATTTGCCTAAAACTATTAAAAATCCATTCAATTTGATTTTACTTATGGTGCAACACTCTAGCACACTTACTGTTCTGCTCACCAAACCTAGCCTAACTTCCTTGGTAGTTTGGAATTCTACTTTGGGAGTTGTTTCTTTGTGTGTTTTTCTTTTTTATAACTGTTGATTTAAAAAATATAATAGGCCAAGCACCTCACGGTGGCACCAGAGTACATAAATGAAAGACAGGTAAAGCAGCAACAAAGTCATCTAGTCAAATACAGGGGAAATAAATCTTGGGAACAGACTGGTGACATTTTCTTATCCTGTGTTTTCAGTGATGGCTGCTATGACCAGTTTTGAAGATAAATACCTTTTGCCATAATGGATATTCCTTCCTTTTCATTAAGTAACTGGCTAATACTTTAAGGCATCATTTAGTAGGTTCTAACTTTACAGCTGTGGTTTATCACACAACACAGCAGTTATTTAATTCATAAAAGCATCATCTGTTTTGAAAATTAGCATACTCTTGAGCTCAGCAAGTTCTGCAAGTTATCAGGTTATAAATTAAGAAGATGCCATTCACTTCAAACAGTGAAATCTCATTTGCATTAGGCAAAATAAACCAATCTGTTAAGACTGTGTTTAAATACTGCTCACAGTATTTGGGGGCAGGGGGAGGCAGGGCTGTGGATTCTCACAACATGCGTCAGTATCTAATGGGAAGGAGGCAGTGAGGAGGATGAAGTCAGACTCTTCTCAGTGGTGCCCAGTGAAAGGACAAGAGGCAGCAGGCATAGACTGAAATTACAGGAAATTTGGGTTGGCTTGAATGAAATCTCAGACTGTAGCATAGATAATAATTACACAGTTAAATAAGTGGTTCGAATACATGTCTTCATGCAAACTGTATTTCTCTGTCTGATTTTACTTTAGCTTTGTGCACCGTGCTCATTAGTGGATGCAAGTTTAAAAAAGTTAAAGAAACATTTACTTTTTGTGACTTCTTTCTCAAATTTTTCCATGATCCTATGAACATCTAACTGGAAACAAACAGGATGTAGAATAGGAAGTTTCTTGTCTTCATTAATGTTGTCTTGAAATTTCAGGGCCTTGGGTGTATATTTCTGTTGTGGGTTTTGTTTGTGTGTTTTAATCTGGCTTCCTAAAGAAAAGAGACTTAAAATTGCAGTGTCCTTATATCACTGTCTCTAACTGCCTTTAAATAATCTTTGAACCTGTCGGTGAGTTCAGCCACATGTAATATGGAGTGTGTCTCAGAGATGCCACAGGATTCATAAGCAGAATCTCTTGTAAGAAGGACCCTGATTCTGATCTCACTGAGTGAAGGGCTGCAGCTTGGGATTTTCCCCGTTACTAAACACCAGTGTGCACACAGACTGGGAGATGCTGAAGGATTTAATAAATTCTGATGCTTGTTATTCTGATTTAAGTACATCTGTGTTACTGTAGTAGAACTGTGTTTTACTGGATAGCTTGCATAAAATACACAGCCCTTTATTACGGTTTTCATTAAATTGTCATGTTAAATGAGCTGTGGAATCAGCTGATAGGTGACAGAATAGTGTGATCTGTACTATGTTGTGAAGATGGGAGTTGTCTTGTTCATGTACCTTCACTCAAAACCTACACCGGTTAACTCAAAATGTGGAGATTCTCCCATTTTTTACACCGTCTGTAGGTTCAGTTACACCTTTTAAAATTGAAACTACCAAATTAACTACGGCCTCCTCAAAGCTGTAAATGAATAAAATATTTAGGTTCTTTTATGAATGTAATGTAACATGTCCCATGATTAAATACTAATACAACTGGATTTTCCAAGCAATTTCAATAATACTTTGAGCAGTCAGTGCTCCAAATGCAATCTTGGCTTTTTCTAGGAGTCCAAAGAAGGAAGAAAACACATTCCAAAAAGAAAGCAAACTAATTTAGATACTGTAAGCACGGGCTAAATTTTGTTTTGGAAATGCCCTCTGCCACCTGGGCTACTAGGTTTGGATAACTGCCAAGTGACACTGAATATATATTAATAATCAAAGATTCTATATAATTTTCTGAAAGGTATGTCTTAAACTATAGTTCAACAACATTATGACATTGTTTCCAATTAAAAACAATAAGCTTTATTTATATTCAACGTACTTACATGCACAAATTTTGCATTCTTTTGACTTGATGATCTGAACAGATTCATGTTTTTTAAAAAAGAAAGATAAAGCCACAAGCCAGTATCTTCTGCTTTGATGATAATTCATTTGCATACACTCCATGAGTGGATTCTGTCTAATTTTGAATTATAGAATGGCTTAGGTTGGAGGGGACCCTAGAGATCATCTAACCCAACCTCCCTGCCATGGGCAGGGACGCCTCTCAACTAGACTGGGTTGCTCAAGGCCTCATCCAACCTGGCCTTAAACACCTCCAGAGCCACAGCTTCCACAGCATCTCTGGACAATCTATTCCAGAGTCTCGCCACCCTTGTACTGAAGAACTTCTTCCTAAGATCTAGTCTAAACCTACTCTCCTTCAGTTTAAAACCATTTCCCCTTGACCTGTTGCGGGACACTTGTGCCAAGTCCCTCTCCAGACTGCCTGTAGGTTCCCTTCAGGTACTGGAAAGCAGTTATGAGGTTGCCCCAGAGTCTCTTCTCCAAACTGAACAATCCCAGTGCCCTCAGCCAATCCTCACAGCAGAGATGCTCCAGCCCCTGGATCATCTATGTGGCCCTCCTTTTCCAATGTGTTGGAACAGCCCTCTGTTCCCATAGGATCCTTTTTCATTCTTTTTAATGTTCCTGGCCAGATTTGGTTCCATCTGAGCTTTAGCTTTTCTAATCTGGTTTCTGGTTTCGCGAACAATCTTGTAATCATCCCAGGTTACTTGTCCACCCTTTGTGGGTTTCCCTTTTGTGTTTGATTTTGGCCAGGATTTCCTTGTTCATACATAAAGGCCTCCCTGGCATTTTTACCCAATTTCTTCTTTTTAGGGATGCAGTGCCTTTGAGCTTGGAGGAGATGATCCTTGAAAGTCAACCAGCTGTCCTGGGCTCCCAGGCCCTCCAGGACTTTGTCTCATGCTGCATGAACCCAAGGAGGTTCCTGAAGAGGGCAAAGTCAGCTCTTGAAGTTGCATGTAAAAATAAACCTGATTCAATTCTATAGTAACATGAATAATTTAGGGAATTTTCTGTCTCTTGAATTTTCATTATTTCACAAAACAGTATTAAATATCGCCCATTTACATTGTTGAGCAGAAAGACTGTAAATGTTCCAGAAGTGACAAAGGGTATCTCAGAGGATGAGTGTTTTTTTTCCTGACTTGGAATTCTAAGATTTAATCTCAGTAGCCTATTTCTTCATCTGCAGAAATGGAGCAAAATATGTAAGTATCCTACACAAGCTGATAGCTTAAGATGCTAAGACAAGAATGTTTCAATACAAAATAACATATTAAAATATCTAGATATGGAATTTTTTTTAATCAAATGGGTCTGGGGTGAAACAGTTCATTAAATTATGCTAGCTCTCAATTTTTTCTTCCTTATGAGTGATCCTTTGTGACAACCAGTGCTATCAATTTAATTCCTAAATGATTTTGACGTCGTAGTTGATATGTTAATGTAACTTTTGTTTATTGTGTTTTCAGTTCCACCTTTTTGCTTCCCTGTCTCTTTTTACAGTCTGCCACATTTAGAGTAATTCCAATGTAACTTTTCAAAATTTTCAAATTCTTTTTTCTGTTTGCTATAAGTATACAAACACACATACATGCAGCTGTGATCCCAGTAGCTCCTTTCCCAAAATTTTGTCTACATTATTTTTCTGTTTGATTTGCTGTCCTTTCAACAGTGCCTTCACCTGCACACGCAGTTACCTTCTTACACCATTTGTCAGTATGTACAGGTTAAACAGAAGCAATGTAAATCTGTTTTTCTTACAGAACTTATCTTTGTGAGTCCTTTTTTTGTTTGACACACTACATTTTGCTGTGAATTCTTTTTCTTCTCTTTCTAGATTTGCATGGCAATACTTAGGACATACATTAGTATCAGAGAATCAGGCCTTCTAAAACGTGCAGGTAAGATAGAGTAGTAGCTTTTGATGCATCTTTGATATTCAGCTTATTTAAAGCAAGTTCAGTAGGGTCTCATGAGAGAAACATGCCATTTTGACAGCGAATAAGAAGTTCTGATTTGGAAGGAATACATCCAGTCCATTTGTTCTCCTGTTTCAGTTTCCCCTTGAGGCTAGGTGTTTAGATCAACAGTTACCTCAGGAAGCTGTTCTAAATCTTATTTCTGCAGAAAATGAACTTGGCCTTAATGGAACTATACTGAGAGCAGAAATGAGTCACAGGGCAGGGCGAAGGTTTAATAGAATCACACTTCTGTTAATGCACTTTTGAAAACCCTGGCCAGACATCACAAATGCAAAACTTTTAGAATTAAGCTTTTAAAATGAAGTGGTGTTACAGCACGCAAACAGCTTTAGTTTAGTGCTGTCACATTACATGTGTGCAAACAATCACACTTAAGACATTTTAGGTACTGTAGTTGATTAAGATCCATCTGAGCTTTTGAGTTCAGTCATAAAGGGCTAAATTCTACTCTGGACAGTTATTCCTTTTCTGTCCTGTTAAGTTTTTGAAAGCTTCTTGGCATGTAGCACGATGTGAATGTGGGATCCAGTTGTATCCTGTGTAGTAATGTTCCCATGCTGAAATACAGAGCAGTGTAATGCAGATACCACTGGGTACCAGCAGGCTACAGGACGTGTCTGTCAAGGCTAGCACTGGAAGAGGTTGTAAGACCATCCACCATGATAACAATGCCCTTCACTTCCTAGAGCTTTATGTTTGGAAAAGCATTACTGCCTTGATGTGCTTGCCAAATCAAACCTAGTTTTGTGCTTTTTTCTCATGCTGCACCAAATCAGCTAAGCTTTCTTGAAATCTGCAAAGGTTTATGGTGTTCAGTTCAGTGACATGAGGTATTTCAGAATAGTCAGTCTGGGTCTAGTAAAGTTAACACTGTATTCAGACTGGATCCTTTCACCTATTTTTCTCTATATTGCTGTCCCACAATACCCTGGATAATTAAGGGTTGTTACACTGCATTTAAAAAATAAGGAAATAACTTGTTTAAATAGTTAGCATCAGTTACCCCAAAGTGAAATTAATTTAATTGCTTTTTCAGTCGAAATATTTGTGAAATACTACAAACAAGTTACTCCTGGTGTGGATTTTGCTCCTCAAGTGCTGAACGATCTTCTTATTTCTTTGCTCGAGAACTGTTTGTTGCAAGAAGTGTTTCAGATATTGAATGTAACAGTACGGGTCAATACACTGGTAGGTGACCTTGTAATATTTTAAAAATCTTTATCCATAGTTTCTTAGTTTACTGAGTACTATGTTATTTGTAGTAGTAAGTTTGTTTTTACTCTGGTACTCAAATCTTGGGGGGAAAAAAGAACAATTCAACAGGTCCTGTTATAAAAACCTTTAAGCTTTCTAACTGAACAGAGCTGCAAAACTGATTGTGCTTTTTTTGTCTAAATTAGCCAGCTGCAGAAGTTCTTCTGAAAGTTTTTGAGCATGTGGCTTCTTTGAATATAAGAGATGCTCTGCCTGCATTGATGAGTACCTTTTGCAAGGTATGAGTTTGATTGTACTACTGCTACTTGTTGGAATTTCTGAAATACCATGCCTGTTTTAAAACTCAAACATAGCACTTGAATGTTATTTCAGTACTATTTTTTAAAAGTATTGTGACTAGCTGAATTTGTAGTACGGGTTTCCATTTGTTCCTTATTTTTTACTGAGATTCACTGTGACATGTTTTTCCCAGTGTTTACCACTTGTCCCTGGAGCTACATAAGTGATCACAATTTTTTTGTGTGCTGACTTTTCTTCACCCTGTTTGATATTACAGCTCATTGATGCTGGCATGTTCCTTGAGTTTGAACATTTTGATTGTATTATTAAGTTCCTTCACCAACTACAAGTTTCCAATGAGGAATTAAACATTGTTTTGAACATAAAATCCAGGTATGTCTTTAAGGAGCTATTTTATATCTGTCTAGTTCTTTTTTCAGGTTCTATTTTTTAAATTTATGTAAAAACATCAAAAGGCAATTAGAAAATGCAAATTTAGTGTTTGGGATGAAAATACTATCATATCATGCCTAATTGTATTTTAAAGTGTCATCAATCTACTGTGTTTCGAAGATCAAGGATTGTTAAGTCAGAATTTAGATTCTGACTACAGTTCTGACAAGTTTTTTCCATATTGATCATCGTTGCACAATCTGTTCCCAGCTGTGCTACAAGTTTATCTAATTATAGTCAAATTAGAAGCATCATGGTTTAATATATTATTTAGGTCTGCATAAGCAAACATTACTTCTGCAGTGAAAAACCCTTTAGGCAATAAGAGGATTAGTTGTAATCTGAAATGGATCATTTTTAAAGTACAGCTGGACTATGCTGTGCAAAATGTGTACTCACAGCCCAGATCTGTTCTAAAATTGTTGATGTCTCCCCATCTCTTGCACAAGACTGTGATCTTTTTTTTTCCATATTCTGTATCATACATGCACACACAAGTTGAGAAACTAAATTGTGATTTGTAAAGCAACCTTTGATTCTTAAAGGAAAGCAAATATGCAGCATCTGCTGTGTGAAAACAAGGCATCACTGTTTCAAGTGAAAGCACTACAGAAATTATTTGCTGCTTTTCATACTTTTCCCATAGAGTTCCTTTCAGCTACAGATCTTAGTGTTTCACCAGTGCAACTTACCACACATGTTGGAGGTAATTTTTAGCACTTCTCAGCTCAGGAATCTGATTCAGGAAGGAATGACCGCTTCCAGGTTGCCTCAGTGTGTGTGTGTTCAGCAGTTTGAGGAGCAGTCTGCCTCCGTGAGGACTGAGCAGTTGTGCTGCTTCAGCTACACGTTAGCTCATTCATGAGTAGGTTACGTATCTCTACCTCATAGCATCACACTAAGTGGATTTACCCATTGTTTCATTGTTGGCATCAGAATAAATTATTACACTCCTACATATTTGAAGATGAATAGTACTTTTTCATGTAATTATTTTTTTTTACCTTTATGTCAGAAATAAATACAATACAGTCCTTCCTTTACTTAATGTATTGAGAGTATTATTCATACCTTTTTTAATTACATTTCTACTGAGACAAGGGAGTATTTCCTGTGAAAGTGTCTCTGCTCAGTTATTTGCTGGATACATGTATGTGATTCCCTTGGCATGATTGTGTCTGTCTGTTTTCAGTGTCCACTTTGCGTAGTATGCAGTAAATGAAATGTAAAAATCACATCATTTTTTAGTTCATCTATGAAAATTGGTTGATCACCTTCTGCTAGTGCATAGTTTTGTCCAATAGTATGTGTTAAAATGACGTGTTTGGTTTTTTCTGATGGAAGATTTCAGCAAAGACATTTTGAAAAGAAGTGGCTTTTTGACTTCAGCTTGGCAGTGGCTGAAATTCAGGTACAGTATGTGCATTCTTCAAGCCTTTTGGAAGACTTTAACCATGACTTCTTCTAAACCTACAAGAAAAAGCAGTTGCTACAGAATTTAAAATTAGTGGGATTTATTGCTCAGTATATTAAGTTGATGATACAATATTTTTATGCAAAGCCATTTTGGAGGAAGATTAATGTGCAGGGGAAAACTATCTTTGGCTTTTCTGTGATGTCAGTATTTTAGTTCACATACTTGTAGTTTTTATGTTGGTTTTGTATCCGATTCAAAAGTTTTATAACTAAGCAATTATTTCCTATGCTTTAATTGGTAGTAGTACATAATTTCTCACAAAAAAAAATATTTAATATCTTATTTAGCAGGTAGAATTCATATCTAGTATAAAAAGGCACAATTGTAAAAGGCTGTGATTACCAGTACTAAGGAGATATTTTAAAGAATAAGAAAGTATTATTAAAAATTTTGTAACCAAACACTTGTAACTTTCATATTTGAGGGCAATTCTTACGAAATACTGTATTATGCACAATTGCAATATAGTTTGCATATTATCACACTTACTTACTGCACAGATCCTGAGACCAAAATTTAAGAAGGGAAGAACTGGGAACTGATGTTTTTTACTCCATTAACAGCAAAGTCATAAGTGATCTGGCAAGCAAAAGACTAATAGAATACAACCATCAGTTCGGCATGTACCGTGAAAAGTAAAGTAAAATACTGGATGAATGGCGGTTCTTGAATAGGACAAATAAGTTACGAGTTTCCCTAGTAGAGGTCATGACATAAAAGGAAAAATTATTTTAATGTCTTGAGGGACAAAAATGATTAGCAGTCCAGGCAAGTTAGGCAGAATGTATCTGTGCCATATTGAACATGGAGGTTTTGGGCAGCGGTGTTTCATCTGCATCTTTTTTCTGTTCTAAGTCTATCCCAGATGTATCTCTCAAATTTTAATATCTTTACTTTTTGGTGTTCTCGAAGCAGGTTTGCTTATATTTATCCCTTGCCTTCTTTGTAGCATTGCAAGGAAAGAAGTGATTGGACCAAGCTGGGAGCTTTGTATGTTAATGCAAGAACTGGGTGTGAACATTTTGATGATCTTCAGAAACTGTCTCTATGTATTGCTGAAATACTAATCAGAGATTCTGAGACAGACAGACCAGGAGTTCCTTTTTGTGATTTTGCTGATGCAGGTAAAATTAAGATGCAATAAATGCTTTTTGTTCATCCCTATTCTTTGTAGAGTTTTTAAAAGTGGTAAAAAACCAAATTCATATGCTTTTTTTTACATACTAGTTAATTTTATCTGTTACAATATTCAGAATTTCTTGAGATGCAAATACAAAGAGCTAAAATGATCAATAGAAGACATTTTCTAGTAGGAGTAAGATGCACAGTGTTTACACTTAAAGTTCTGAAAGAAGAATATTTGAGCTTTGTGAAATCAAGAAGAGAAACCAAAATTGGTCTTTTCATAAGAATGCCCTATTCTCAGGACAAAGGCAAACATATTTATTGTCATGTGGGGTTTCACACTCTCCATAGCATAAATAAACTTTAGATCTATAAATGCAGCGGTGTCTGTATTTTTGTATTTCAAAACACATTGAATGGAGTTATCCTCATGTATCTGATTTCTGCTTTTTATTTTTAGTAATTTGGATTTTCAGAATTATTTAATTCTCTAAAGAACTAGGAATTTCTGCAAGGGCTGTGTCCACAAAACACCTTCAGGTTTTTTAATAGTTCTGGCAGCGTTTCTTACCCCTTTCCTACCCTTCCCTCATTACTAACTTATATGTATCATATTTTCTTATTAGTTTGCAGAAAACTGAGGCTCAGTGAAGTGTCAATGAAATATTAAAGCACTTTATAAACTCGGATCTTTTTTCAACCCATATTAACTACTAAAACACAATGAATGTTTATTCTAGTTATGTGATATGACCTTTCTGACCACAGACTTTCATGTTATAAAACAGCTATCACAGTTTCCAGTTGTGACATGGACAGAAGATCTTGGTAGGGTTTGAAACTTTGTCTTCCCTGGAGCAGTGGTCTCCAAACTGATAGGCACCTCTATCAGTAAAAAATTTTTGAGCATGCACCTCCTGTTTATTTGTTTGTTTATAAACTGTATACATGTACTATGGCACTAATATATTAAGTACATTATAAACTATATACAAAAATAGAAAATAAAAATATGAGATAAAGATGAAATAAACACTACTTTAAAAAATATTTTATGTTTCTTTTTTAATGGGACAAAGAATATTTTCTTCCCACACTTGAATGGATTGTTATGTTTACATCCCACTATGGAGACTTCTGCTCTAGAATGCCAACAGGTGTTTCCAAAGTGATTGTATGATATGATTAGAAAAACTTGTCATCACTCAGTTCTGTAATTCCATAACTAGGAAGCTACTACTTTTAATGGCAAATATTTAAGAAAGTATATCTACTTTTTTCATAATGTTTCAAGTGTGTAATTTCTTTAAAACTGGATTTATATGTAAAATATAATTTTTTATTTCTTTCCAGTAATAAGAAAATCACAACATAATGAAGCAGACAGAATTTTCATTGGAAGGATTGGCATAAGTGTCATGTATGCTTATCACAAAGTACTGCAGTGGATCAAGGTATAGTGGTCTACAGAAACCTGACTAGAAGAAAGAGTCCTTTCTTTTCTACATGCTAAACTGTGTCTGTTATTGAATGGCTGGATGTTCCACCTGCCTCCCCACCATATTAGTATTTCTTAATTGTCCAGCTGAATCAAAGCATTTTATTGTGCCTTTCTGAGCAGCAGTCTTCTGTGGAACCCATCATAACATTGTCTTGCAACCTAGAAACTTGATTGTTCAGGTTCAGCTTTTGACTTATCTGAGCTAAAGATGAATCTGTATTAAAATATCTTTTATACTGTTGTCTCTAGGGCATGACTTTCAGGAATTCTGTTATGTAAAACCTGTGCACTCCTCAGTCTGTTTCCAGGGTCAACCCAAGTGCCAGGAGATACAGGTGCTTAGTCTAGAGGCAATACACCCATTTTGATGAACCATTGATTTTGTAGTATCACCTTGCTGAACTGAATGGTCTTTAGCAGGTCCCAATCAAGCTGCAGCACAGTGTGATGCTGTTTTGGAGTAAAGGGGAGGAGAGAAGGTGTTTGCAGTAGCACTTTCGTGGTACTGCACTAGACCTTTTGAAATCATCTTTGTTTCACAAAATAAGACAGTCATGGCTGTAGAAGAAGTAGTGCAAATTTTTTGGCATTGAGAAGTGGTCAGTGCTCATATGCCCATCAAAGAGCTTAGTTTGGCCTGGGTTTTGTCTGTCTTCAGAGACAGCATCTCTTCAGTGTTTGTAGGGGAATGCCTTCATATATATCGGCTGCTTTCCGGGTCCATCTTACAGAGTTCCTGATATTTAGGTTGCAGGATCTCTGATATTCCACGGAAGTTCATCTTCATGTCCTAATTTCAGAGGTGTAGGGTGTCAAAAACATATGTAGTGTTTCTCTTGTATAACAGGAGTTACTAAAAGTAGGCAGTTCTTACAGTACTGTGATCTTTCTCCTGTCTAGAGCAAAAGAACATTGTTTCTTTGAGAATGTGGTGTTAGGTATCAAAGCCACCTCTCAACAGATGGCTCATCAAGGTCCTCAAACAGCTTTGTAGACAACATGCCTTGACCATGTGGGAGTGTGAATGAGGGCGTGCTTAGAATTATTTTTATCAGAACTGGCAGATTCCAAAGTGATCTCTGCTTCAGGGATGAAGTAGAACTGTCATAGCTCCCTCTCTCCACAACCAGTTGTATTCCATTATAGGTATCTTGTAAGTCCCTAATCCTGTGGTTATGGAGTAGTATCTGCTTGATCCTGTGTCTTTTTCTTCTAGAAAGTGGTCCAAAAATAACATAGTGATAGACCTGTTCATCCTGCTGTGCCCAAAGTATTTCTGACTTTAAGACATGTCCTGTGTCATTTTATGAATATGTTTGACTGCCTAAAGCTGTACATGTGCTTTTCAGATCACTTTGCCTTCATAAACATCAAACCTCTTTATCACATAACTTTGATGCTTTGTGGCTCTCAGGGGTAACATATGTATGCTTCTTGGTCTTGAAGAGCATATTCTTTGTAATAACTAAGCCAAGTTCATAAAACAGATGTACCTCAAAAAAACATGCAGATTTGAAACACGTGAATAGGTCTTCCATGGAGATAGCTCGTCAAACAACACTAGACTATTTTTTGGATATGTACTTGTGAGAGTCCTGAAACATTAATGCTCCTTTGGCAACTATTTCATCCACTTCCTGTTTCAGCTATTTCTTGTCTTGAAGGACTTAGCTATGTTTTATTTTTATGCAACTTCTTATTACTTCAGAGAATTGGTCAGAGGTTCTTGTCCAACTAAGGATCTGATTCCATGACTACATTTTAATTGAGTGCCCTTCCTTTATAGATCACCTATACTTAGAGCTGCATGCTTTCCATCTTTCTATAACAACACATTTCTTAGTGGCCCTTTGGCTAGAATGATGGAATAGATACAGATCCTCTTTAATTTTGTGTTTTGTCTCTGGTTTGCACTTAGATTTCAAGTTTTTATTTTGCTGTCAAAGTTTTACCTGAGTCTTTCTGGTATGTATATTTTTCCCTTCAGCCACACACATCTACAGTTGAATGGCTTCTTTACACCTTAAATGTGAATTGCAGTGATCTAAGTAGTATTCTTTTATGGCTTTTGCTGAGATAAACCATTGCAGATATTTGTAGGCCTTCAAAAATCTCAAATTTTGAGCATATGGCAGTCCACACCACAGTATATATGTGCATATGCATAAAGCATTTTCAAATAATTAGCTTCTTAATAAGTAAGTTTAGTTTTCTGTCAACATCTCTGTTGTCCTAAACATCCCTTTACCTCCATGACCCTTGTTGCACCACCAGAATGTGTGCACACACATGACCACAGTTCTTAATAAGCCTTCTCCTTGTTGATGCACCCACTAAGCAAGAGCTGAAACATGTCTAGTTTTGAGTTTCGTTCATGCTGCCTGACCAGCAAGGTGCACCAGACAGGACAAGTGCTGAATCCTGCCTGTCCTTGCCCTGCTAGGGACATTAAATTGATAGCCCACCTTGATTCAATCATCTTTTTAGATTGGTCAGATCTTAATTATCTCTGAAACTCCTACCTGTCTTCCATCTTTGACTGAAAAGGCCAACCAAGAAGTTTTTTAGAGGAAGCTTCTGTAGGAAATCAGTCTAAATATCATCCTGGAATATGATGATAAAGTTGTTGGTTGTTATACTGTTGGCTAGATAGCCCAAACTTCTTCCAGCTCATTGTCCTGCTGGGTACAACTATCACCGTTTTCTTTGGCTTATGCTGGAGTAACTATTTCAGTTTAACAACTATGTCTCTGCTGCCAAATGAAAACTTTGTATGATCTTTTTAGAATTTTATAGGTTGTGTAGTACTGAATGAAATCAAAAGAGTAAAATTATTGACATACTAAAATAAGCAAATATAAATTAAATACCATATAGGAATGTTTTATAGTAGAAACAAGTGTTATAGGGAATTGTGTGCTGGGAACAGTTCAACAATGGGTTATTACTTACTATTACTACTGTTACTTACTATTCATTAGAACTGCTATACTTTTTTTCCCCACTCAATTTGGATTATTCAGCTGAAGCCTATTGATCTGTATGACCGAATTAAATCTCCTATATTTTGTGTAAATACATTCTGTGTTCACTGATGCTTTTGCTTTCTCTGACCTTCCCCCCTTCCTTTCTCCCTCTTACACAGGGAAGGAAAGTTTTGGATAAATTGTACGAGCTACAGATACATTTTACAGTCTTGAAAGGGCTTACAGGTGCAGAAAGTTCAGCATCAAGATGTCAAATTGTTAATAAAGCTGCAGAAATCTTTCTTAAAACTGGAAGCTTGGACGGAGCGACATGGGTACTGAGAGGTAAGTTTGGCATAGAAGAAAACTGCGTTTTGACTTAAATTTGAACAGTCCACTTCTATGACAAATTTCAGATAAAAATTCCAAGCTGGTTTATGTTATTAAATAAAGTTATTAAAACTGGAACAACAAAAATAAAATGTGATCCATCTTACTGACTAATATTGTTCTTGATATGTATAAGAAATGTTACTACTAATACTGAATTTTTTTCAGAAGAGTTTTCACAGTAGTCTGCCATCAGCACTGTTCTACTCAAAATCCTACCATAATGAGGGAGGGGTGCAGCTTGGAAAGTGACTTTGCCCCATGTAGATTTCCTTTGAGCCAGGTGAATTTCCCATCAAAAAATTTTCAGGCTCAGGACAAAGCAGTGTTCCTTCACCCCGCAGTGTGCACACCTAGTAAAACAGCTTTAGAATAGTACTGTATTTCTGCAGTCAACTGACATTTAATTACTGACTTTTTGGTATCCTGATCTCCTGAAAAGAGAAGAAACTCAGGAGTATTAACAAGAATAGAAGGTGTTCTATAAAGTAATATTGAGGATCTAAAATTTGGTATTCAAGTTTATATATGTACATATATATATACACACATATTTATATATGTCACTGATAGTCTTTTTTACTACCATATTATTTAATAAAAGGGGTTATTTACAATATAAAGGTTTGGAGAATATCTGAAAAGTATTGGTGATAAGGATGAATTATTAATAACTAGAACTGCATTTTCTGTGAAATTCTGGGATCTGTTTTTTTTCCTACAGTTTGTAGTATATTCTTAATGACCAAAAGTCTCAGTGTCCATCCATTTCAATTTCAATCCATAGAAATAACACTGCACTGTTGTTTGTCACAGAGTCAGAGTGGACCACAAATGCACCACTGTGGCCCTGTGATAACATGGACATCCTCAATCGCCATAATCTGTTATGTACACTAGTGCACAAATACTTGAGGAAGAGTTTATACAGGGAGGCATTTGAAGTTCTGCAGAACTTGCCAGGTTTTCACAATCGTTCTGGTAAGTAAAGAAAAAGATACTGTGTTAAGAGCTAAAAATTTACAGGTGATTCTGTAGTGTTCTTTTTATTTGTTTTCTGGCTAAAATTTGTTGAAGCAGTAAGATGGTTTTAGATAAACCCTTTATTTTTTTCCAAAGAATGTAGCAGCAGTTAAAGTGTGTATTGTACTCTGCAGCTCTCGCTGCACACACACACGTGCACTAACACACACACACAGAATTTGCACACCCACTCCCTTTTTACGGTTGGCTCAGTTACACAGGGGCAACAAGACAGACGCATTAAATTCTTAAGAATCATACACAGTCTATAGAATAAGATAAAATACAGCTATCATTGGGGTGATTCATTTTATCTTATCTTCAGATGAATGCATTGGTTTTTTTCTATAAGTTCAGCTACCTAACCTAGGCTGCTTCTACATACCATGTTAAGAACTGAGTGATCTTTTGGACTCAATTTATCTGACAGATTTTGGGTATGTACTTAAAAGTGAGATGTGTAGTTGTTCAGGCTCCACTGAGGAAATCTCAGCTGATTCCTCCATGTAGGTCTCAGTCCTGTTGCTAGTGTGGGCTTTTAGGTATGTGAGGAGAATATTACTGGAAGACCACCTACTTAGAGGATTCTAAAAGGATCTAGTCCTTTGAGGCATGAGGTGGATAAAAGGCTGCTCAATCCTGCCAAGAAGGGGACAGTTCAGAAGACGTGGACAGTTCAGAGTAAGAGTAGAAGCAAAATTTGAAGCACTAAAGTGATTTTTATTGGTGCAAATGAAGTCTTCGGATTGGGTGAAGATTGCATTTACAGGCTTGGACAAGCGAATATATTTTTATTTGATACTACTGGGCTTGGCAGCAAATTGTTACTTGGGACTGTAACGCTTCTCTTTCACAATGTGAATGAACTAACTGTATTAAAAGACTTTTGTTGAATAAAGCCTTATTATAAGTTATCCTGACCTTATTTTGCCAACAGAAGCAAGAGTCCTGATTTAGGTACTGATTGACAAGCATTTATTCAGTTAGATTTGCATTTGTCTCAATTCAGTAGTGAATATTCTTTATTTCATTTCAGATACTGTAAATGTTTCTCAGTACAGCTACCTTTTTAACAAGCTGATCAATGCCTGTTTTGAGAGCAGGAACCTTGGGGTCTCATCTTCTGCAGTAGACTTCATGCTTTCAAAAAACATAGCTCTTGATTTGTTTTTACTTAGAAGATTAATCACAGCTTTGGGAAGAAGTTCTTTGTGGTCTAAAGCTAGGACCTATTACAAAAGTAAGTTGCTTCTTAAAGAATATTCTTAAATTCTTTGGATTACATATGCTCATAAAAGCTATGTGTGTTGGGAATAAATTAATTTGTAAGAAGAAAACAGTACTTTCTGTGTCACTGTCAGGAATTTATTTGTAACCAAAATGTTTATTGGGAAATAGCAACAGTTAAGAATACGAATCAGTGCATCATACCTGGCATTAAATAAATGTAAGTGTGATAAAATTAATTTTTGACATTCAATCACTTGGCAAAAGACCAGGGCAACAAAGGGGAAGACAGTGTTCAAATGTCCTCTCATTGTGATCATAGTTAATAAAGCTTCTGTTTGACCTGTCCTAAATTGTAGCTGTGTTACTACACAACTTGTCAGAAGTTACCCAGACTTCTGACAGAACTTGTTAATCATTGCTGATAACATCAATTGATAAACAACATTTACAACAGTTAATATTATGAGGGACTTGCTGTGTCCTCAAATCAGTCCATTTCACAGTTGAAATAGAAAAATCCATTAAGAATTTGATGGGTTTTTTTTCCACATTCTTAGCCACATAATGATGGAAACAGCATTCTAATGCTAATTTTTTATGTTTCTGCATTTACTCTCAGGTGCTTTGTCAATGGGTTGCTACCCACCACTGCAGGGAAATTTATATTACAGATGTTTGATGATTCCATCTTTCCTGTCTGAGGTTGAGATGCTGTTGGCCATTGAAATATTTCTTGTTTCAAATGCCAGTGATATTCAAAATCCAATGGCTACTAGTCAGACTCTTCAAATAATACTGAAAAGGTTTGTTGTCAGATACGTACCACTTTGATTGTATTTATCTGTGTGACTGTATAATTAATGAGGGATCTTATTTTCCATGGGCTGGGAAAGAGAGTGCTTGGTTTTACTCTTGCTTTTAATCACTTGTTTCTGAACTGGTTATAGAACAGTAAGTGTTTGGGGTTTTTTTATTATTGTTACATTTGTGTAGCAGAAAAGCGATTGTTCCAGAGTGATATTGGCCTGTTACCTAACTGAATGCGTCTACCACACTAAAGGTGTGCCGTATTTTCAAAAACAGGGTAGCTTGATACCTTGGTGTGTAGATTCCTGTGTTGTAGTTAAGCTGTGGAGTAGAGTGGCACAATGAAAATGTCTTTTCAAAAAGCAACTCTAGCTTTTCTTGACTGTTGCACGGAAAGTGCAGGAAGCCGTTTTACTTGATTAGAGAGGATACCTCAATATTAATTTTTTAGAAATTTTTTTTGCCCCCTTTCTGTGAGAATAATACCTTCAGATAAAAATGTGGATTTTTCCTTTTTCCTTTTTTTCCACTGGCACTAGGTTATGTAATTTATTTTTCATACCTAATTTTCTCTGAGATAGACCAGGTTGGCATCAGAATGTGGAACTGAATAGAAATGCCACGTTTGTTAAGAAGGATGAACAGGGCATCTCAAATGTGAATACTCTGTGTTCCTTCCCCTGTACCCTTCCCCAGGAGTTCATCTCTTAATTTTGTTTTCTGATAAATTAGAAGGGCTTTCTCTCTTCTTTCCATGTGTATGCTATTATGCTTTTTTACTTAAAGAGCCTAAGTTTTTGCAAAAGCGGAACTTACATGTCACTTGGGCACATCTTCGTTCCAAATGTGTTTACATGCCAAAAGTGAGTAATCCTTTTGGATTCAAGCATGTACATGAATTCGTGCTATATCCGGCTCATACAATGGTTTACATTCCTTCACTGAATTTTCCAGCCCAGAGTCAAACCTTTCCTCCTGAAACATCCTGTGAATATTGCAGACCTACTTTGCACTGGCATTAAACGCTATTACTTTTCATTACTGTAAAGTATGTTAAAAATGTAATTTTCTGACTTCATAATTCTTCAGAATAATCATCCTAAAAGATTGTGTAGAAATTAACATATCCCTTATTATAAGTGAAGTGAAGACGACATTATTTTAATGTTTCTGCAATGTTGTTGCCAGTGTAAGGTGTCAGGCAAGCAGCGCAGGGCCTGTGTGGTACCTAATTTTGTGTTTGTGAAAAATCACTTACAGGTGTGAGGATCAGGCGGTTCAGAGCAACAGCGACTATCAGGCGGCGGTGGAGAGGCTGATACTGGCTGCTCGTGTGTCTGATCCAAAGCTTGTTCTTAAGCACATGACCATGAACATTAACATGGAGGAAGTTTACAGCTTGGAGCTTACATCTGCTCTAAAATGGCTTCAGGAGAATATGAAATGGGCTGGGAAGGTCTGGCTGTTCCAATAGTCATTAAAAATAGTAAAAACTTTTGGGTTTTAGTGGTTAAAGCATTGTTGAAAAGAATACAAATGAATAAAGGTACTTCTCACTGTGTTCAGACTACGCCTTACTGATGTACAGCAAGGCTTCAAAGTCAAGTTGTGTTTTGCAGTACTTACACTGATAATACAAGTAGTAGCACAGAAAGAGTAATTTTTTTCCCTAACTACACAGACTGTCACACTGACTTACATAGATGTTTTGTAATGGCATAATTGGATAATGAGGAAGCTGCAGCCTCAGAACCTACCTTCTCTTTTTTTACATCTAGCACTAAATGTTTTTCTTCTCTCAGCAGGTGACAGTATGTAAGTGCATTGATTGAGTGTATCTACTGTCTCTGAGTGAGACATTTCCCAAGTTGCTTCATAGTCTGTAGAAGTAATACATCTTTCTTTTTGTCTTCCTCAGAGTACCTTGTGAGGATATTGTCCCACCTGTGTGTCTCCTAGATCTTAATTTCCTTACTCAAAAAAAAGCAGTGAAAAGCACTGAGAATAAAACAACTTCAAATCACTTGAGACATGCCTGACTTAGGATACCTTTCTTCACAGAAGTGAGTCTACACAAGTTGCTCACAGCCAAAAGTTTAGTTGTGTCTTGATAGTACTTTGTACATGGCTTTACATTTGCATATATGCATACTTCTGCTGAAGAGGAAAACTTGCTTTCTCCCTTGATTGTGCTCTTGGAGGGAAGTGGGTTTGCCCATGTTTTGGTTTCTGCCAACTGCATGATGAGATGGAACCTTCTGGGCAAGCTGGTTCTAGCATTTCTGGTTCTTCAGGGATTCTTCTTTTTTCTGCTTGCAAATCCTCAATCAGATCTGGAGCATGAATTGCTTAAATCAGTTTTCATCTACGGATCTGCAGCCTGAGTAAGAGGAACCAAACATCTTGTAGCAGAAAGCTCTTGTGGCAAATCAGTGGGACATCTGATACTTGCCTGAGCTCCCCACTTCCGCAGTGTTAGTTTAGGTCTCCAGTGCCAACCTTCCCTGAACATGCCAATAATACAGCTCTTTTGGTCTTGCTTTCCATCCTCTCTAGAGCTTTTTGTGCTGAAAATTTCTGCTTTCTTCGGTATAGTTGTTCATGGTGTTTTTAAGGCTGTTCCCTTGTGAGATCAAGACAATGACACAAGCTCTCAATGTTTTAAAAATGTTTCCCTCTTTTGGGGCAGCATACATCTTTTCCTGGCTGCAGCAACATTATTGCAGGTGTCTTTTGTGCCTCTGAATCATGAAAGCCATCATGATCTTACCGCTGGATGGCTGTGGAGGGGTGTCAGTGTTTTGTTTTTTTTTTGTTTGGGGCAGTTGCCACTGCAGTCTTGAGGTTCATACCATTAATCTGTTCTCATTAAGCTGATTGTCTCTTCAGGGTTAGGTCCTGCCCCGTTTCAATATCACTGCTTATCCGGTCTGTCTGGGAGATGCTACTGGAAGAGAGAGGTTTGAATCTGATAACCTCCAAGGACACTGCCATACTCCTGTGCCACCTGAACAGAAAAATGCAAGGATAGGGGCCCTTGTGTTTTCAGAGGCTATCATTCTTATGTGGGGGTCTCATCCACTTTCATTCTAAAAAATTGTAGCTTCATTACTATCAGGTGGCATTTCTTTAAAAGCCCCTTACCTCAGAATTTGTCTTCAAGCACAGTTGGCACTAGTTCAAACAGGCTTTAGGTTCTACCACTTGGTATTCACCAAGATGGCTCAGCAATTGTAAGGCTATCCACATCAAATCCAGTAGCATTCTGCTGCTTTTGTTCCTCAGCAGCTGAGAGACTGGGTAAAATGTGATCAGGTTTCAGATGAGGGGTCTTAACTGATGTTTGTCCAGCCACTCCAGCATTAGTGGCAAGAGCAATTTTGGAAAGTTTCAACAAACTAAAACTGGCGGTGAGAAACGAAATAATTTTTGCTAATTACTTTTTGTAAGATCCTTTGTAGCGTAATCTCCCGTGGAATTAGACAGAGGCTGTCTGAACCTCAGCTAAAACCCACATCTCTGTAAGCGGTACCAGATGCGGCTAATGCTGTGCTTGAGAAAGGCAGAAGGACAAAATTCCCGTAGTAATCTGTATGGCTTCAAAGCCTGAGATGTTCTACAGACAGCATTCTTTTTTTCCATTATTAGCAACTTTAAATTTTCACTTTGGTCGTCCCCAGAAAAAAGAAATCTGAGTCTTGCTTTATTTTTCAGACAGAGGTTAATCATTGACCTCCTGGCTTAACTTGGAACTGTGTAAAATTTGTGCAGTGGTTTGGCTCCGTCTTCTGAACATCGTTTTCAGCTGAGAGGATGCAATGTCAGTCATATTTTTATACTGACAAGCAAAGCAAGCTCCTCACATTATTGCTCAGAAGTTTTGTTACAACTGGTACATCTGTGTTTCTGTCAATATGGTGTTTCTCCCTATCACCACCATGATACATCAGTTGTCAATTTAAGCAACTTTACTGTTAAGTCCTGTATTTCACATTTTGTGATATTTGTATTCCAAGTGTCTGGGTCCACTTGAAATTCTTTACAAATCTGTTCATTTTGATGCATATCAAAATGCCAGAAAAATTTATTTTTGCAATATTCTCGGTATCAGTTTGGTGACAGAAATTCCAGGTGCTAAAGAGGAAAAAACTCCAATGTGGAATGGAAAAAAGCCTAGAAAGATAAAAAAATGTTCCAAAGAATAAAGTTAAGTACAATGGAGACAATGCAGTTCTGCAGAGCCAGACACTCAGTTGACAATATCTATATTTGTGCTTTTCCTTGGGTATGTTACTGCTTCTTAGCTGAAAGAACAACTGTTTTTGAGATTAAGCAATTCTTTTGATAGATATAATTTTTCATATAGGAAATAAAAATGTATGTTTACCTGTTTGCAGGGAGAGAGAGAAAAATGTGAGGTAAAAAGAAAAACCTTTCCTGCGTTGCGCTCAGTAGCTAGGTCTAGACAACGCTGTGCTCCTTCAGTATGCTGTTAGATGCATGAGAAATACCCATTGTGAAAATCTTGGTTCAGTTTTCACCGATTACACAGTATGCTCTTTGAAAGATTTAATTCTGTTAGTCAGATTTAATTCTGTATGGTCAGATTCTTGCACATAAAACAGAATAATATTGTTTGGAGCACTTAAGTTTTATTTCAAAGCATTGATAGTTTTGAGAGTTTCTTAACACATTGGGGACAGAGGTGAGAAGCTGGAAATAGAAGCTTGATAGTTTTAGGATGTTTTATAAAGAGCAACTGGGGGGATTATATTGGAGGAATCATTAAGATGTTAATAAATGTTTTATATTCTTTATATGATGTATCCAAAGTGTCTGTGAGAATTGTCATTGAATTATTTAATTGTGCTCAGGTCCCTGTAATTAATACTCTTAGTTAAGCAGGAGGATAGGCAAATGGCAAAGCAGACATGGAGAGTTTAATATCTTGTTACTTCTACAAGAATCTAAAGTATAATATTCTGCATGAGACAGGAATGTGTGTAATCAGTCAGATTATGCAGTTTTCCAGCACGACTTAGCACATACTCCAGTAAATGCTCAGAAAGCTGCTCACTTGTAGTCCTCTTCTCTGCTGGAGCAGTGACAGGCCCCTGCCTGGATCAGGTCCTGCAGCAGTACAGGTTTTCTGCTTCCCCTGGTCACCTGTGAGGTTCCTCTGATGTTCTATGTCTTTGTGATCAGTGTGCTGCCCACTGGCAATTGCTCATTTTGATGCTCTGTGTGATGTCTCTGCTTCACGTCTGGCTCCATATTGCATTATTTATTTTATTTTGATTCACAGCTGCTTTATAAGTGTGCGCCTGGAGCAAAGCCCCTTGGCAATAAACCTTGCATTACCTGCTTCTGCTGTGAGCCTGGGCAAGGTTAGGAGCCCAATTTAACCTCAAATTAGACGCTAAGTGCCTCCATGCACCCACTTTCTGCATACAGGCATCAGCAGCCTATGTCACTTAGAAACTGTCTGCCTGGCAGTGCAAAACCCAGGTTCTGCAGATTACTGATAGGGGAAGAGGCAGAGCAATGTACCACAACTGACTTGGTTTCCCTTTCCGAGAAATCTCCCTGCCCTAAAACATCTGGAATGTTCCAAAGCATCATTTGCAAATGTTAACATGGAGAATACTGGGTACAGAGGTGCAGGCATCCAGCTAAGTCTTTGGAAAGTGTCTGTCCTGGAAGGGGAGAAGTCTCAGATTTGTACTTTAGTATCAACCTGCCCCATTTCATTTCATACAATACTCTGTAGAGCCTCTCTACCTTCAGGCAGATCAATGCACTCACCCAACTTGGTG